AGATATAAGAATCCATACAGTGCTCAACGACAAATGAGAAAATTCAACTTCGATGACAAAGAATGATATTTTTTCCTAAAACTACTATGTTTTTTATGCTTGATGGACATTAGCAGCTGGTTCTTGTAGAATCAGGTCAGTTTTGAAAAAATCCATCATATACGTAATACAGTAAAATCCTCGTAAAATCAGACACAGAATCAAACTCTATTTTCTTCAGAAACTGCGCGAGTGCGAACTTTAACTACCATGTTGATTTGGGGTCTGAATTCATCTGCGTCTAGGGGAAAGAATGTTTTTATTCGAAAAAAGTACCCCCCGTAAACATCAAAATTGTAAATTTTCGTTTCAAACGGACTTCTTAGAAAGTTATGTACAGGGCAGACTTTAGGCTTATTAGCTATTGACTAGGCTCGGCTACAAAACTGCGACGTCAAATGATCTGTCGGATTTTCTGTTTAATGCTTGCGATGTACCTAGTATTAAAGCCTAATCCCGGCTATTTCTGCAACAAAAGTCGTCAGAAAAACTCGACGTTAAAGTAACAAAATGAAGATGTCAAGAAATAAAAGCAGGAGGCTATTTTGGATCTACACGACCGCTTCATATACAGAATTTTGCTACAGACATGAAACTGCTAGATTTCAATGCTTAAATACTTTCATTCAAGCGCCAACAGAAAATTTCAAAGATTTTATTTATTAGATCAAATGCGCGTCGCGATAGCACCTAAAATGGTGTAATGGATGAAAAAAAGTTTTTTGTTGGTAATATATCTGGTTTTCTAAGAATCAAAAACCTTTTGTCGAATTGACAAAGTTGCCTTCTGTGTATTACAGACTTTCGATGTGTAATTTAAAAATATTTCGTGCGTCTGACGAAAAAAACGTTCATAAGTCACATAATAGCGAAGCTGTCAATAACAAAATAACCGAGAGATTTGTTCATTCCTTGTAATATGCCGTTGCTTGTGTTGAAAATAATTTTGTCGACGTTAATCCAATTAAGTTCAACTAGCAGCGATCGTGTCACATGTAAAATAACTGTCTTTGAGTATATTTGTTGATCTGAACGATAAGCGGTAGTTGTTAACAGAAGATTCTCATTCACAGTTGAACAGGCAACAAATGAATGAACACCGAACAGCGTTTCGCTACTGACTGCCATTAATATTCCACCCTTGTTATACGCTACATATTGCCCAGATGCAAGGGCATTGATGTAGCTGGAGGCAGGAAAAAATCTTTTTGCGTGATTTTCATGCATATAGTGGACACCGTCCCAGTTTAGTCTACCATATCCGTTTGGTATTACACCAGTGGATGCAGTTGCCCCCGGTACGTCGTTGAAAGTAATCGTTCGACTCGGTTTTAAGTCTAAAATGCAGAAATCATAGCACAACCATTTTATCTTTTTTTAAAAACATAACTTCAGCACCAATGCAATCTAGAATGAAGTTCGAACTGACAAGCGGACTCCTCGAATGATAAATCCCTTTTTCGTGAAAGCATACTTTTTCTGTGATTGTTGTTGGTGCTGGTTATAAAACTGGTATCCATTCCGACTGGTATGGCTTCGTAGGGCGTATATGTATGAAACTATACAGAAGGAGATCTACCTTAGCTTTTTAGAGAAACTTTTCATTACCATCAAATTGTAGCCAAGGCTAAGTTACGTATAGAAAAAAGTTTTTTGAGTTACTGAATGGATTTTCATAGGGATATAAAACTTTGCGTTTTATTTTATCAGAAAATCCAATTTCCGCTAGCGTTCTGGATATCAAAGAAAATAAAACTCAACAAAAACCTATCTGTTGCTTTGGTAAATAAATTTCTATACATCTGTCAATCTCGGCTGCAGTCTAGTGATACTTGAATTTTCATCCTTATACAATTCAAAGTAGATCCTCAGAAATTTAATTCTCATAGGCGCACCTTAGAGAGCCATATCAAGCTGAGATTTATAATCAGCGTCAAAAAGAACCACGAAAAAATTATGTATTCGTGATAGAGCGATTGATTACTTGGAGGAATGGTCCACGCGACGAATCGAAGAATACATATTTTAAGTTATTTTGTGGCTTTTTCTTATTAGCCAGCGGACGTATCCAAGAATAAGATGAGAAGAGCCTGGATACTTGTTTAAATCCATTTTATTGCGTTGAGCACAAAATAGAACGACTAATCTTAGTCCGCGCAAGAGGGCTATCACACGGTGTTTCCGCCCCCATAATCAAAAACTGTTTTTTTTCCTCGTAAAATCGAAAAAGCTTCACAAAAAAAATGTCGCGCAAATACAAACTTTTTACTCTCGCCAATCGTTGGCAGTTCAGCCTTAACACTATGCGATATTGACATAATGAATTACCTGCAACTCACCCTCAAACTTGCTTTTCTTTTCATTATCACCAAGTTTTCGGACATGTTATTTTAGATCATCATATTTTCTCTTATGATAGTTTTGAATTTTCTTCAGTTTTTTATTAAAAAGTTCTTGCTGCTCTTGCAGAGCTGTGCTCAATTTTTCCTCATATACAATTTGTTGCTTGCTCAGAGTGTCAACCAATTTTTTCTCCATCATCTGACTCAAGCATTGAAATGGATCGTGATGTTTCAACTCATCACGTTTATAGGCACATTGGCATTTGGAACACTCTACTTTTATCTGACCGCAGAGCTCCTCATGATCCATCAATTCGTTCTTCAAGATGTTCTTTGAACAGCCTCCACATTGTAATATTTGGTATCCACAATCGTGTTCGTGATTTTCTAGTGCTTCGTATGAGCATATTTCTGTGCACCTGTTGTCATGATTTCGACAGTATAACTTAATTTTAGAAAGAAGATTAATCAATATGGGTGGTGCTTTTCGTTCCTCATACGGATCACAATTGAACGGACAGACCCTTTTCGTACTTAGCCATGTTTCAATACATTTTAAACAGAAAGAATTTTCACAGATCTTGCAAGTAACTGGTTTCCAGAGAACGTTATGGCATATTGAACACAGACACATATCCTGGTATTCATTTGGATCAACAATACGATCGGTTAAAACAGATTCCTTATCGAATTTACTTGCTGCCATGTCAAAATCGCTTTGTTTGTGTACGGAATTAATTTAAATTAGGACGCGTGTACAGTGATAAATAGTGTACTAGAATGAACGTCATACACATCTTTTATTTTCTCGGTTAGAGTTCAGCGAAGCGAGATCTGTCATTTCAAAACTTACCATTACTTCGTTTGCGTTTGCTTTATCAAAAATCGAAAATTGCTTCCTGTCTGTTAATCCTATCGGTAGAAATGTGTAGTGCGTACTTTTTTCACTTTTCTCTTTCTTTTGTCAGGTAGAAACTTTCGTAATCCTATACTGTATAGTCAGCATTTATAACCGTTCTCTATAATGTTTTTTACAGTTAGAAAGAAACGCTAGAATTGTAGATAATGTGTGTCGCAATAAATAAGAGAAAGATAAAGCCACTTAAAAAGTCATGCATAAGGGGAGGGCTAAACAGAACATAAAAAGTCAACGGAGAATCCTGTCTGCTCCTTACACAGCTCTTTCGGCATTTTTCTGTCAACAAAATACCATTGTACATGGCATCCTCCACAAAAAGCTTTACATCCACAAAATGATTCCGCGACCATTATATATTTGTAAAAAATATCAAAAACAATAGTCTATACTATTTCTGGCTGATATAACATTTTTGAGCAATCAGAAAAGTAATGGCGCTCGTATTTGTTATTTTTTAATAGTTTAGTCTACGAAAGTCTTTATTTGTGTGATCTGATTTGTTATGCTTACGCCTCTAGTACACCATTAGTTTGTCAAGGACTGTAACAGATTTGACTTCAGTAAAAAGAAAAAGAAACGCGTCCTGTAAACGTGTCTGTACCAACTACATAAAAGAATTCGTCTTTTGTTTCTGTGTCAAGGTTTACCTGCAGAATTTAGCCTTTTTGCCTCTTGGAAGAATGTATATACGTTCGAGAGGAAGGGAAATAATCTAATGGCAAGAGCAAATATTGTTACTCAGTGCCCCATTTCTTCTTCGACAAAAAGATGACTAATAATTTAATACTTCTTTTCCTCTAAGTGAAAAAATGTTTCACATTTTCAAAGTAGAAGATTTTTCTTCCCTATTACTGAGAAACAAATCAGCAATCAATGAGTAGCATTATAAGAAAGATTGAAAAACAGAGTTTTTTTCGGATATTGATGAAATTTTGTCAAATATTTTGTCAAAGTTTCATCTTTAAATATGCAGTAGTTCCGGAGGTATCTATTTTTATAGTTGTCGCTAAGTGCGTTTCCCAAAAAAGACAGTGACACGCATGATTTTTAATGATTTAAAACCTTTTCAGAGTATATTCGTTAACTTTATTTGCATTTTTGAGTGAGTCCTTTGTTGCTTGGTTACGAAGTAGAAATCACGCACGTCAAATGACAATTCAAAAGCATGAAACGTTTAGCTGTGGAGATCAAACAACAGCTAATATTTTTTTTTTCTAAATTTGTTTAACTATTTACAGGACGGTTCATACATGATAGTTCTATAATATTTATTTTTAATCACAGAAAATGTATCACATTTTTTTAATCAGCATGTGTATGAAGTGTTTTCTCTGCATGTCTAAACTTTCCGTATCCTCTCAATTCGTCTCATTCTTTAAATACTTATTCTGCATAAGCTCTTTTATATTCGCATTTGTGTTCTTCAAAATAACAAGGGTTTCGTCCATGTTGCTGAGAATAAAATAAATAAAAACATGTAGGGAAACGTGTCTAAAGCAGACAGTAGAGATTTACATTTGATCAAAAGTTGTCGTGTGAGTACGTAATGAACTTTTTAATATTAGGTGAAAACAGCATGAAAACCCAAATTTTCGTTGATAGATTTTTTAAACATTTTCTAAAAACAAATATCCCCATGAGACTGTGCATGATCCATTATCTGTAATCCGCCAGTTTTCAAGGCTCCCAATAGTCACCAGATGCCAGTCGAGGAAGAGGAGACTCCGGAAGAGGAGACTCCGGGCTATCAGCCCATGTAAAAAATACCTATAGGGAAAGTTTTATACATGACCTGATTTTTCAAAGATCTCCTAGAAAAACCTGTTTCAGAGGTCTTTACTGAAAAACATTTTGCTTAGTATTGCTTAGAAAAACATGCATCCAAGTCGCATCTTTCACATGTCGAAAATCGGAGCACTCCAGCTGCTTTCTATCAGAAATTATTCAAAATACATCGGCTGCCTTATATTTTGAAACAAATAGTAATGAGTCAAACTTGTGGGTTGAATTAGATCCAAAAGGTTGAAAATTGGTTTACATATCTAAATTTGAACAATATACAACAGTTACAGGTGGAATTATTCAAGAGATGGTTTGAATCTCTTTGTTCAAATAACTCAAGATGAAATAAAAACAATAAGACTGAAAGCATTTGCAATGAAAAATGAACAATATGCTGATTAAATGTCAAAAATTTTATAAGATATTATTTTCAATACAGTTCATTCGGCAATTCTCAGTAAGTCTTGGTGGATATCAGACCTGACAATACATGAAGAATCGGTAAGAAAATATGGTACAATATTTCAATTCGATTGATCACACATAACAAATAGCGACGTCGGACGAAACAAAAGTTATTGAAAGAGCATCTTGAAAAACAAAACTACCAGCCAAATATTCAAAAATCGATAAATCAATGAATTACAAAAAAGAGATTATCAAGAAAACCGCAACAGATTATACTATATATATATAATAGATGAGAATAATGATTTTTTTTCATCCAAGAACAGCACGAAAAATTTCTTTCAGTTTCGTTTTCGTTCTTCTTACTGTTTGAATTCGACATTTCTTTTGTTTTCATATTCGATAAGGAACACATCTATTACCTTATCTGTCGTACTCCATTTGTCGTTTTGCAAACATTTTGCTTTCATTCTCGAAAGCATGGCAACATCAACAAAACAGCTACGTGTCAAATGCACAATTTGGCAAACATTTCAAACTGGCAAAGAAACGCAGAGCATTTTTTTGTTTCTTGTTCATTGTCAGTGTTATTCTTTATTTCAATATCAATTAGGGATTAGTGCAACAGACTGGATTTGTTTTGGTTACGAAGAGAAAAATTGGTCTTAGATCCTTGAGAAAAAGTTTTTGAAAAAAACGTTCAAAAAAGAGATCTTTCAAACTTATTATAATTTGATGACGGATTTCCAAGAAAATCTCGCACTTTCCTGGAAATTCGAAAGAATTGGCAATGCTGATAGAAATAGTCGAGTCTGTCGTGGAAGATCGTCGCAACTCAATAACCTATCTCCTTTCCATGAACGTTCTTTGTCAGAAGAAAGAAAAGGAGTAATAGTCATAGCTTGTTCCATCGGCCGCTAGTTAAACTGCTGATGAGAAAGTAAGGAAAAGAAAGAAAAAGAATGGATCGACTGACTCCTTAAACTGACTAGCGAAAGGACATCCAGTTAAAGCAAATAATTACCATTTTATCTCCAGTGATTTCTGTGTCAACGACACAAGCTAGTCCGACTTCTTCCAATACTTCTAAATTAGCTGTTACGCCAAGTCTCCGCGCTGATTCGATGGCTTGTTGTTCGTACTCTGCACAAATTTTTTCTATTACATCTTGTCGCATGATCATGTTTCCACGTGGCAAAGGTGGACGTACAGGTTTCAAATCACAATAATCACCGGGTGAAGTACAAATTTCGATTGTATTAATAGTTTTGTTCATCCCCATTGCAACAGAAATATAATACGCTATCCCTTTTAAATAAAAGATCAATTCAATTATTATCATCGAACACTGATCGTATGAACTTTTCAACGGTCTGATACTTTTTGTTGCAAATGACAAAAAGACTGATGAGAAAACAGTGTCTCGCGAGTCAAGGTTCATGGCTTTTACATATTATTTTGCAAACGTAGCAGCGTACGCGCGTTATCGACAATCACTTCAATTAAATGGTGTTTGTATTCAGTTTTACACTGGGGAACCATGAAAAGTCTAAAACTCAAGAGAAACGTGATCTACTTTTGTATGCTTTAACGTTAGAGGAGAAGTGACAACATAACACTACTGATTCATACATATATGCGCTTATAAAATTTGTCATAAAAAAATCAAACTTTTATGTATTCTTCCGTTCTATTCTGATCAGTATCGCCATAAGTAGAGACTATTACATGGCATCCAAAGTTATATTTATATTTGTGTGTTGAACAAATTCAGTTTTAGTGGCGCAAAAGTTCAAAAGGAAAGAAAATACTTTTGTGAAAATAGTCATAAGTCCATCAAAGTTTATAGGCACATCAATCAGTATTTATTGTATCCATCACAGATGGAAATATCTGAATTACCATCAAGCGATTTTTATTATGCTTGCCGTAATAATGATATTGATTTAGCTAAATCGCTTATGGAAACTATGACATCCGATCAAATAGACAAATTAGAACCAAATGGTAGTACAGCTTTGCATAGTGCATCATATTATGGATATTGTGAAATTGTCGAATTATTATTAAAAAAAGGTACATCAAGATGCATAAGAGATAAATATAATTGTACTCCATATGAGGAAGGAAAAACAGCTGAAATAAAAGAAAATCTAGATCAACATCAATTATTATATATTCTTAATCTTATCTGTTGTCACCCTGATTTTATTATATATGAATTCCAAGGTCAAACATATCGTGGTATGAAAATGGACGCCGATGATTTAAAACAATACGAAATTGGTGCTAAGATTATGACTAAATCTTTATTATCAATTTCAAAAGATCGATCTGTTGCTGAAAAGTTTGCTATAAAGATGGAAGAAAATGTTGATGGTAATACAATCAAAAAATCTTGTATTTGTATATATATAATACTCGAAAAGCTCATACAGCATTAGATATTGAAGATTTATCGGTATTTCCATATGAAAAATAAGTTCTTTTAATTCCATATTCAGCATTTCAACTAATCAATATTCAAGAAATTAATAACAATTATGGAATTTTAATTGAAATTGAACTACGTCAATGTAAACCATTCGTTAAAACCTACAAAGCATTGGCTGTAGGAGGAAGTTTACTTATAGCAGCTGCCGGTATAGTTACAGCTATGTTCCTTGATGACAACCAAAATCATAATTGTCTTGAACAATAGGCGTCTAACATGAGAAAGTTGGTCTAGGCTAACTCCTTCGCTAGCTGCGCAATAGGTACGAAACTTGAGGCCTGAGGATTTCAAGTAATGCTCTTTCTTTTAGTAAGCGGAAATGTTTTTCGAAAACCTTCAGAAGTAAAGTTTCCAGAAAACCAGAATTTTTGAGCTATACGTTTTGAATAAAATGAGTTTTTGTAAAAACGTAGCGACAGAAAATTCTTTTGAATATGATCTTCGGATTCAGGCTTGAAAGACGGATTTTTTAAAAAAAGTTAAGTCTCTAAGTCAAACTCCCGATTTATAAAACAAATTTTAATTTTTAAAAAAGGGAGTTTTTTAAAAAATCTATAACGCAGCTCAAGTAGGTGATAGAGAGCTCGTTCAAACGGCATTAGAAAGAGCATTAAAAAGTGTACAAACGTAAGGGTTTGGCAATGCTCGCATACCACATGATCAGGGTTTTCTAAGGGGTCTTCAGAAAACCTCTCTCTAATTCCACTTAAATTTCTAGTTTTTTGATATTTAAATTTTGGTATGAAACTTTTTATGGCTCCACGTGAATCATGTGTAGAATTCGAAACTTACAGTGTAAAAGTACAAAGGAATAAAATAATAGAGTGAAACAGCAGAGAACAACACACTAAGCAAAAGAAAAGGATAATCAAGAGAAAAGGCGATAACTCGTGTAACTGGGAAAAGCAGATGTTCCAGCAGGTCGAGGCCAAGGTTTCTATCACCTACTTTTTTTACCACTTGAACTGAAAATAGTTGAAAATTTGTTTTATCTACTAATATGGGATAATAGACGCACATCCTAAACGAATGTGAGCACCTGTGTTCCACAAAGAGAGGAGGGGTTTTTGACTGTTTCTAATGTGATCAGCTGTTCTGTCTCTGAACTCAAAACATATCATCAGCAATCAGTCTTTTCTATGCTTAATATAGTGAAAATAATACACTCTTAAATCTAATCTCTTGATAAAAATTAAATAATGTCGTTTGAAAATCATTATTTGCCTCTGATAAACGTAGCTCAAGATGATAAAAGTGCTACAGGCTTATCTTTAACTCATTTGAAAGATAAAATTGATTTTGCTACTATTAATGCACATTGAGAAAGAAGTTGACCCGAACAGAGGACCACTGTGGAAGTTTTGAGTTGGCGGACCAAATAGAAGACCAAGTGATATCCTAATGCGAGGCATGGGTTTAAGTCAACTCAAATACTGGTGAAAGATGATGATGAATTATTTACTGTAAGAAATGAAAAGGAATCTTTGTGAGAAGGTTCAAGTTATTTAAGATAAACGTGATCAAAACAAGCGGATATATAGAATTAAAATCTTTTGTACCATCAACACAGTGTTAGACGACTACCCGTTGGTAATAGTTTCTTCTTAAGATGTTGCAAACGACTGACTGGTTTGTTTGGTATGACACAATCGACTTCGTCTGCTGTGGCTCGAATTATTTTGTTTTATTCCTTTCGGCACAGGCCTTCAGGGCTTTTGTCTGTTTTTCAAATCCATTCTGAACATTAGCCAAAGGAACAAAACTACGAAGCGTACCACTAAATTCTTCACGAGTGTGGTAATAAGTGTGGTTTCTTTGATGGAGATTTTACCAGATGAATTGAAAGATAAGGTTTTAGCAGGTATATTAAGAGGTAAAATCTCAGTCTGCGTGCTAGAATCACTTTTGGCAACGGGAATTAAGTTCGATCGATTTCTAGCTGTGTTCGAGATGAGCTTTGTTGCTTATCCATAACTCGAATTATAGCCTTTGTTTGCATTTCCAAAGCTTCCTTTGCCTGCTCTTTCTGTATTTTCGTAGATTTCAGTATATACATATTCTGCATTTTCATAGTTTCGAGCAACAATGCGTTAGCATCAATTCCACCGACAGAAAGATTAGGTGTAGTACGTGATGTATTGGATCTGATAGATCTACCTCGAGACAAAACGGAGACTAATGATGGAGTTACAGAAGTCTTTGGTTTTGCTTTTACAAAAATCTTCGATGGTTCTTGTTCTAAAGATGAAGCATCCCTATCGGTGGAGCTGCTCAAACGCGGAGCTGCTGCTACCTTCT